ATCACTGAGGCAACTAACTGAGATAATAGCAAGCTTGACAAAAGCCCTCGACTTAGCCTGAGGGTTGCTCCAGTAAGAATGAGCTGATATGTAATATTTTACAATAAATTTGATTGCTTTAGAACTTAGAAGCCATTTAATATACTGTACCACAGACATACTGACTAGTATTTACCTCATAACCGATGTATTCTTCCAGTGTTCCTCTAAACAAGCTTTTGTCTTTCGTAAATAATTTCTTCTTTCTTTCTTTTTCTTAGCGCAACTCTTCTTCGCTTGGATATTCAAGGCGGGAAGAGTGGTCAGGGCCTTCTCAAGGGATACATTAAACACTTGTTGGAATACTGGGTTAATTTCATCATACACCGTCTGTGCGCCAGTCTGGTATTCTCGTCGTGTACACTTGATCTGTACAGGCTGTTTATTTACATTAGCTGCTATATTTTGAGCCACAACCACAGGATTTTTTTTAAGAAAGCCTTGAAATTGCCTTGAATTAACCGGGAATAAAGCCTGATACACGGAGTATCTGTGACAACAGCTGGGGCAATCCATCAAGCTGTGTTCATCTTTGCGCGTAGTGGATAATTCTTTCCAGCTATCGGCAGAGAAAGCTTTCAGGTATTGGTCTCGTTCTCTGTATTTACGGGGATTCCAACCACTGAACTTCTTACGCAAGTCTGGCAGCTTTCTCTCAAAGGTTTTGTAGTCCACTGTAAACTTCGTGCTGCCAAACATTTGGCAGAAGAGTTCGTGAATAGCCTGTACAGTACGCACGCGATGCTGATATGGTGTTTCAGTGTCAACGCGCTTTATGTTAACTACAGCATCTTTCGTAAATCGCCAAATTGCTGCCTTGGCAAATCCACACGTATGTGGGTGAATAAAACTGACAACCATGGCGATAAAGTAGAATTTTGATGTATTTTTATAGCTTTGTGCGGACTTCGAGACGTGAGTCTATCGAAGCAAATTTTGAATCTGGCGCCTAAATCGTCATTGCGTGCGTGAGACGCGTCTAATTTTGACAGATTATAATCTTAAATTACTGATAAATAAGGCTCTTGTTTCATCATAGCACTCAAGATTTATCCTGTGCAATATTGTCTGCGAAATTTATGCTTAGTAGCCTTTTAGATTTGTATTATTATAAAGCATGTTGTGGTATATATTAAAATGCGAAGTTGTGTCGGATAATTTGGTCACAAATGGTTTGTGCGTTCGACATTCACTTGTATATTAAAAACAATGATATGTGTATATTTTTCTGTATTACAATTGCCGGTTTTAACCTTGCGCAAAGCAAAATATGTCTGCAAACATGTCTTTATGCTCTTCGAGTTATTATGATCGCCATTTTGAGCGTTCTTTGTTGCCATGGCTATGCGGGAGACCGCTGTGTGTAGAATCAGGGCTCACTCGACAAAAATGGCGGTTTTTACGATTTATTTACTCGGCCGAATGTTAAACTTCAATGGCCTTGCAGGAAAGGTTTTTATTATCAACCATTAAAGGCTTATGCCCTAATTAACTACAAAATATGTCCAACTTCTTGAGAAATGTCGTAAACCGAAAACATTTTGACTAGAAGTAGCTTTAATGATCGAAAATATGCGAGTAGAAACGCTTGTTTTGACTTTGGATCTATTTTACGCAACAATAACACAACATTTTCACGGATACAAGTTTGAATATGTTAGAAGAGTTCCTTGGCAATCTATTTGTAATTGAATGCTTCAGTGAGAACCTGCTCAATCATTCCCTGCAAAGCGGTTGAAAAAGTTCCATGTTTTTGTTGCTATTTTTAGACCAACAACTGGTCACGTGACATGTTTTTAAAAATTTTGGGTCCGTTAAAAAAATTCTAAAATTATGTTGAGTAGCATTAACGCCCAAAACCCTATCAATTCATCTTAAAATCGTTGTAAATAATTTTTCTTTTATTTTTCATGAATTAATGCACACTGTGAAACCTGACCCAGTCATTAACGCACCTGAGTACAAGGAACTGTAGAAGGTAGTATATTAATTAAAAAATGTTATAAATAAGTGTCACTTTTATAAATGTTCAAGTATCACATCTTATTTATTGAAATATATTTTTTATGTATCACTTAACCTAAAATTATTTAAAATTAAAACACTTTTTTAATTAACTGTACTTTTGATGTCTCAAGAGTAACATGTCAACAACAACAAAAGTAAATATTAACCTTTTATTTTGGCCAATGCACTCCCTTGTGTCCTACTGTTAATTAAATATTATTTTACTTTTTCTAATGTCAGACAATTTTACTTGTCAAGGGAAGAGTGCCCTTTTACCCCCTTAAACAAAATAAATACACTTTCAAAGTTGAATTGATTTGCCAATAAGCTTATAATTATTAATGAGTGTTTAAAGTATATTCAAAATATTATTTCCAGTCTGCTGACCTAAATACTCAAAAGTATTTTCATTTTGTTTTATTTTAGAGTTGAATGGCAGGTCCAAGCCATGTAACCACTGCATTGTAGTCGAGAAGTTTATTGTGTCAGTAGATGGCACATTACCAGAGAGTGTTGTAGGTATGATGTTGTAACCCAATGCAATCTTGTGTATAGTGTTATTTTTTGTGTGTGTTTTAATGTTATGTACTCAGATGAATTATATAATGTTTTTGGTGTTAATCTGAGTGTGCATCCAGCATCCACACCGGGCATTCAGACAAGTTGAAAAGTTAGCCTGACCACGATGGGAATCGAACTTTCAAAAGTTGCGGGTTTGATTACCACTTTTGTCAGGCGAACTAGTACCTTACCTGCCCAGTGTGGATATACACCCGGAGTATGTATAACATCAAAACCACTACTGTAGTGTATTTACTAGTTTACTCTGTCTACCACCATGGAATATTTCATGGAATATTTGACTCTCCTGGAGAAGTAAAGCAGTAACAGCGAGTCGCCATCCAATGGGGAGCATGCATCTAGTAACTTGCCTAGCATGCACACACAAAAAGTGAGTACACTAGTTCTAACTCTGTATATGTATCTACTCTGGTATAACCAAAAAAAACCTGTAACCGCTCCACGCCATGATTCGCAATAATTTGTAATATTTTGATTACATGGCCAGCCAGTGCGCGTTTAAGAGCATTCCCCCTTGTAAACATTCAGAATGGAGAACGTTCAAGGGTCACACCAAAATTATAGGCACCTTTAATGAAGTTTTAACTCAGTGTAGTTTAAATTATGTGACCCTACTTAATTACACATTATATTTTTAGGCAATCAAGCTTGTTATAATGATCATGAATATTTTGTAAGTGTGACATTTTCTGAATTTACAATTCTCTGCAGGCACACGTGTTTAGGAGAAAATCTTACACATATATAGCTTGGTGAATTGTTTACAGTACAGTACAGTCTAGGTGTAAAATGGTACTGTATTTAATCTTAATTTTATTGGTGAATGTTTTCCTGGTGTAAGTAAATGTTATAATATAATGGTATAATCACGTTCCACTTTTCACAGAATACGGATAACATATTTGAATTGCCATGCAGCAAGAATGTTGTATGTTCTTTTGTTCATGGCGAATATTTGTTTGTTGGATCGGATCAGCATGGACTCAAATGCCTCACATGCAAGTATGACACCCACAATTGTGTCCATGTTGGATTTGTGCAGACAAAACTTGATGAAGATGATGAATCCTTTAATTTTTTACTGCAAGTTTTTTTCTGATCAACCTGTTAGACGTTCCCCTTCTATCCCTTCATGCCTGTCAAAGCAGAAAATTCAGTATAAAGCTGAAGTCCGTAACCCTCGCTTGATGCGGGATTTAAAATCCAATTTACATACTGATGAAAATGGCATCTTTCAAATTATGCTCGGTGGTGATAATAATTTGAGCAGCCCTTGTCCATCGTGTTCATCTCCATGGTCGAACAAAAGCGCAAAGGATGTGAAGTTATATCTATTTAATGAAACAATTATTTGTAATGGTGAGCATGAGTACTGTTGTTATACAAATCTATATTATTGCCCCCAATCATAATCGACGTAATTTCTAGTTTAATTTTTCTCTCCATTTAACTACATTTACATGCTTTTAAAGTCTTTTACAGATTATGTTCTAACCCTACATGTAACAAGCCTGAAAATTTTGATGGCAGTCAGTTTTGAACATGGGACGATATCTTCTTTCCCATGAGGTTCTACGTGATTACATGCATCATTTTTTTATTTGGAAGGTATCAAATATATTTCCTACATGTACATGTATATAAACAGTGATATTGTAATTATTTATTCATGATTTCTGGCTGGCTTGCAGCCAACGGTTAAAGCATTATATGGCTAGCCAAAGAGAAAATGTTGCCCGATATAGACGTCATAGCAAGCGATATTAAAAAAATCCCCACACGTTATGACGTGTTAGTATTGATGCAATGTGGAAAAACGGTCAAAACAATTAATAAGATTAATGTCTACACGATAATAGTATTAGTTACGGACAATTGTTATTCTAGCAATTGCTGCTAACACCACAATTCCTCTTAATGCATTTTATGATGAAATTCCTGTACGCGTGTTTGTCCGACTACATTACATATGCCAGAGTAAGAGTATATGTATACGACTAATCATATGGGTATGTCAAAGACACTATCGTCCTTATAACAGCAACAAAATGCTTTAAAATATGTTTTGACGTACAGTATATTTGTTCGGGTGCTGTTGTTTTTTTATCTATTTTAAATAAAGAATAAAACACACATTTAATATGATTTTCTTTCTATTAAGAGGAGATTTTTTACCAAATCGAGTATTTGGCGCTCAAAAATACCAACATGCTTTGCACGAAAATGGAAGAATTTTTTTTTTTTAAATGGCTGTGAGGAAGCTAAATTTGATCAATATCTGAGCTTGTACCTCAAAGACAACTGTTCAGATGGAAAAGTAAATGTCAGAAATGAAATCAACATATCATATTTGGTTAGTCGTCTGTCTTTACAGCATGTATCCAAAGATTTTGAGACTGAAAAAACCATTTGGAATTCTGGAGGAGTGATGCTCAGTCGCTGGAGTTACCCAGGTATGTCAACTTTGTCTGCCACGTTATACTTATTACGTTCATCCAGATTTCTTTTATAAAGATAGAATTTTATCAAAATATTGTGTATTGACAATATAGTTCATCAGTAGTTACCCACACTGTTATCTTAAGAAATTACAGTCATTCACTTGCTCATTGACTTCGTTCTGGCTCTTTCCAGACTGCCAAATAGGGAAAGTACTGCAACTTTTGTAAGAAAAATTGGGGGTTATCTCTGTTATTTTGTTATATTTATTATGTTGTGATGCTGTCAGTGCTATACAATGCGAATTAATGCTTCTGCCAAGCGTGGTTAAGTGATCTGTCCCAATTTTCAGCTCCAACGTCATCGCAAATATTGCATAATCCTGTCATTCTTACCATCTCTTTAAAATTCCCAGCATCGCAAATATTGCATAATCCTGTCATTCTTACCATCTCTTTAAAATTCCCAGCATTCAATCCATCACAAAATTTTGATTCTGATATTGGCGTTCTTCCTTCTTTTACGCACTCCTCCTTATATTTTTTTGTAGAGATTTCCCTTCCCATCTTTCAGCCACATTACAGGTTGTTTGCTTTCATCAAAGAGATCTGATCTCCAAGACGACTTCATTCCTTCACACGATGCCATTCTGTGAGACAATCTACAAGTGTTGTCTGGATGATGAACAAAGTTCAAAACGAATGCGAGATCTTCGGGCGGGATTTTAAATCTCTTCACCTTTTCTTCAGTGTCACTCCCGGCCATGTAACTTTGCATGCTTATGGGCTTCTGTTATGGCTTTTTTCAGTTCTTTGTTCTTGAAATACGGCGCTACTATTTTTACTGTAATATTAATCCTCACTTCATAAGCTTCTATAGTCACGTAATTTAGGTACAAATGTTTAAAATAACAGATTAAAG